AAATAAAAGGACATATCGATCAGAACAGAAGATCGTGCTTACACTGATAATCCTGTCCAATATGGATGGTGAACATTATGAAGATAGCGATTAGATGTATTGCCTCGTTGATGACCGCCAATGGAATCGTCGTGAACCACATCGGTTTTTCACGAGAATAAAGCGAAAGCGTTGCCAAAAGAAGGAAAAGACGATGGAAAAGACTGTAAGAGAATAGTCGCACGGATCAATACCTGGCGAAAAAACTTTTTAATTCTCCTTGAATTCTCTTCGCAACGTGTACACAAGTCTATTCAAAGACTGATAATATGAGTGTAGTGATACCCACAAATAGCTTTCTTCATTTGAAACCCTTAATATAGTGAGAAGGGAGCTCACCCATAAGGAGAGCTTGAGGGGAATGAGGGGGCGGGCGGAGGGGGGGGGGACGACTGAATCTACCCATATGAGAAGTGAGGACAATTTTTTGAAGCGCTCCCCCAACTCAATTCATTACAGGTAGGACAGATGTCCCACCTGGGTATAGGGAAGGAGGCGGGCTTGGAGCGCAGTTACTGCAGATTTTGCCACCAATGGTAGAGCGATCAGGATTGGATCATTGGTGAAAAATGGCCGCCTAACTGACTCCAATCCAAGCTTCGTCAAATGCCCTGTCTTTGGCAAGGATTACAGGGTGGAATTCGAATTGGTGAAGGGTGAATGATCTGTACACTGAAGAACCAACCTGTACACCGATGAACAGCTGACTCGCACGAAACAATGAGGGTAAAATCTCATTCTCTGGGATTTCCTTGCGCTTCTAAACAAATATCTATGAAGAATATTTCATGTCCGAGTCTTCAATTTGGTGCGTCACCATATTTGTCGAAATGTCAGGCCTTTTTTGTTCTAAATTTTTCTGGAGGAAGTTTTTATGAACACCTTATAAGATGCCCCCACACTCACCCTCCCCCCCCCCCCTTCCCCATCCTGTCTACCTTCCTGCCATTCGTACCACTTTTCCCAAATTTGCCCGAAAAAAAATTGTCGTTGAGCTGAGGAGGGGCGCTGGGGAGGACGAACCAACCACCAAGAACCTACAGCACTTGAAATAGGAGAAACTGAGGAAATTCAGCAATCGGGAGCGAAATCGGAGAATTGGGGTTATTTTCCTCTTCCCCCCAACCCCTCTCGAAGGGGATCCTCAACTTATGACGTGCCCTGATCCGGGTTCGCTTTCCAGCTGGAATCAGGTCTCTTGCCTATAACTCAGTATTCTCGAAGTATCAGCGAGTAGTTTAGTTACAGCTCATGGTAGGAAAAGCGGTGGATTCAGAAGGGATCACTGACCCAGCAGAAGTTGTTGTATGTGTTGCCATAGGTGTAGCGTAGCATACCGCTATCGAGAGCCGCGAACCACGAATCAACCACTACAGATGGGATCACCCAGAATCGGCTATTGCTTCCATAATTGTACGAACCATTGCGAATCGTCCTGCAAATACGTTTGCTGATCCCACAAGCCAAAGCATTGATAGGAGGTAAAATCAATCATAAGTTGAAAGGATAAAAGGTCAGAAAGGCATAGTCCACGTTGGACGTAGGGGCGGGGCCACTGCTGGCATTATGTCATCCTCATTGGGAGTGGGCAAGACGTCAGCATGGGCAACTCCAGCCTAGGTGAACGGCAAGCTTCCAGCTCGCGTCTGCACCCTTTGGAATCACCAGTTACCCCCTAAGATGGGGAATAGGCCCTTTGCCAATCAAGAAATGTGCTTTTACAGGCCTTTCCCCAAGCCACGATCAAAAGCCAGTTTCGAATTGGCTTGAAATCTCATAGGCCGTGTGTTTTCCAACTTTGATCTAACGAGCACTTCTATTTATGGGGTTCTAGGGCTACCAGATAGCAAAACTCCTCTTCAAGACTATCACTTACCTCCTGGTTATCACGGAGAAATTGCGTGATGTTGTCATTTTCCGGGTCCAATGAAGGATCAACTTGAGTCGAATTTATAAGTGAAACAATAGTGAGAGCTAGAGAAATCACAAGGAGATAAACGCCAATTTTTAAAAGGCTGACGTCCTCGATAGGATAGTGAGCGGAGACGTCCTTCGGAGAAAATGTTTCTGAAAAGCCAGATACCTCAGTAGCTGAGGAAACCAACAAAAAACAAAAAATAAAAACAAGTATGCAGAAAGACCCTCCGGCAAAGTTATGAAGATTTTTCTCTGCTTTCCTCTTGAATAGTACTGCATGTAGGCGTCTTCCTCACAATGTGTCCGAGGAAGCTGACGAAAAAGAAGTGATAGCGAGCCGGGCTCATAGGCAGTAGTCCCAGGATACTTTCTGGTGGGTAGGCGTCTTCGCTTGCCTATTGCCTCGATAACGATGGATGTTAAGGACAAAGACTTCACGACTCCGTCCAAAAACGTTTTTCCCCAGCTTTTGAAGCAGATTTGAAATAAGCGTCAAAAAGAGCGTTCTGATGATCTGGGCAGCATCACAAGCGGGCACGCTGACCTGGGGCCCATCCCTAGTTAATGTGAATAACCTGCTCATGCAGCTGAGCCTACTACCACCGAAGCCGGTACAATTCCACTGCCCAGGGTGAATTATGGACTCACGTTTTGCCTTTTTCTCGGATTCACAGATTTCCGTCATTATT